CAACCTGAGTTCCATCCTCCAGCATGCCATGGTAAACAATTCCATACCCACCTTCACCGATTACGTTATCAGGGGCAAAAGCGTTAGTGGAAGCTTCGAGCTCTCTTAGAGTGTACCAATGCCCCCAGCCCAAATGCGAAACTTCAGGCACCACCATAGGAAACTGATCGCCCCCACATCGACCCTCTCCACTGCCCTGCGAAGAAGACGAGCGGCCAAGGCGCTCAGGATATGAAATCCTATGATCCTTCCCAATCTCAATATGAATCCTGTTCACTCGCTCCTCCTCCTGAGGCAGCGAGAGCAAGGCTTGGCGCTCAATTCCGGGCATTGGGTCCGGTTCCGGAAGTGGGTCAACCTGAAAATGAGCTCTACTTGGCTTGTGTTCTTGGTTCTGAGCGACGGCATGATCGATTCTGATCTCTTGGATCTCTTTGGGGACGACTGGGATTGTGGGTCTGTGAGAAATCTTCCTCCGCGACCGTTTAGAGGCTATCCAGAGAGAAATCAGAAAGAGGAAGAGCACGAAAGCGGCTCCAACACAAACCCCAAGAACAACCCACAATCGTAGCCCAAAAATAGAGGTCTGCTTGGAGAGCTGGTCGGTCATGAGGCCCGATTGGCGATCAGACATTCATTCAATCCGTCTGATTGTTTTGGAGTACACCACAGAGTTGCTCCGCACATCCACCCTAAACGAAAAGAATGGAGGCGATGAATTTATAGTCGGTGATCACATAAGAATTGCAGCCAAAGATGAGAGGTAGTGAAAAGAGAAAGATGAGTAAAGGAAGTGAGAGAGGGCGAATGGGGAGGAAGTAGCAGCTGGCATTGATGGGACCTTTTGGAATCCATAAAATCCCAAATCCCCAATTGCAATTGGTTTATTTTGTTGGGCTTCCCACTAAATTTACGCGGGTACACAGATGTTAAGTTTAGAAACTCCATTGCCACTGCCCCTATCCCTATTCCCTACCATGTGAGAAGATGATACTCATTAAAATTCATAATTTCCAGACTCAAAACTCCACGCCCCACGGCCCCAATATTTATTTCATAAGTTTCAGAGTCAAAAACGCGAATCGGGTTTCCATAAATAGTAAACTAAAGATTAGAAAGCATGGGATCTCGCTCATCATTACATTCCACTCCTACAGTCCACTTCACAAAATTCACTTCAAATTCTTTTCTTTTTTCTGAATGCATATTGAATGATTCTTTTCACCAAAAATATGGACTAATATGTACAACTCAATTTTAAGGAATTGCTGTTTAAGTCTTATTAATTAACACCATTTTACTTCTTTTTGCTGATCGTTAATGCAAGGATGAATTCTTTTATTTGATTATGATTATTGAAAAGCTTTAGAACCCATGGAGAGGTAGTCTATTATAAATAGAATTAACAACTAGAGCAACTAGAGCGTACTTGGCAAATACAGAAATTTGGCTTATTTTACTGGATTAAAAAAAATCATTCTATAACTTAATAAAAAAAATTTTTGGGGGTAATAAAATATGCTCATTTAAGACTTAGTATTAAAAATTTTAAACAATTATGGATATAAAGTTCTAATCCTCAATATGATAGATTGGTAATGACCCACATTGTGTTACTAACTTTCGGATTACTATTTGTATTTTTTTAATTCCGAAGCATCTTGACAGGTTAAGGTGTGTTCATACTTTCATTGTGAAACTCATCCAACATAGCTCAGCGGTAATTGACATATACTTTCAAAATCTCCTCCACAACCTGTTGTACTAAAAAAAGTATTGTGAATATAGCCTAGTTGCATCTTAATGCAAAAATCATTTTTGTGAATGTTCTATAAAATATTGAATCCCTCCCTATCTAAGTCTTCAATCTATTCGCAAAAATAATTGTTACTGTATTATTTTGTACTTTACCAAAGCTAGATTCTATTCTTGCTTGGGTGTTAAAAGTATTTTTTTTCTAATTGGCAGTACCATGGAAGCTATTGGGGATGGAAAATCAGTAAAAATAAGTTGATTCAGCTACAAGTTCTCTTCTCTCCCATCCTTTACATCTTGGTTACACAATTTCTTGTCTTTTTATAAAAATAAAAATAGGGAATTGGAATGAAATTTTTTCTTAAAGGATGGTATTAAATAAATCACGAGCATTGGGAAAAACAGTAATGGAAGACAAGATAATATGGCATTTTGATGTTGTTTAAAAATTTGTGGCCTTTATTCTGTCGACAATAGTTTGGGCATCGTGGGTTTGATGGTGTTTATAATTTTTCTTTGGAGGTCTTGCACCACCTTTTTTCCTACGAACTATAATTTATGAAAATGAAGAATAAGGAATAATATATCCAAAATTGAAGTTCTTTTGGGGAGTGAAGGAAATCCAATGGCTTCTCTCAAAAAAAAAAAAAAGAAATGTACAGATATAAATTTTATAAAAAAACATCCAAGTACTTTTTTTTTTATGAGTACAAGTACTATAGATATTTGACAACACGAAAAAAGCAATAATGATTTTGTTTGTAGCTTTCTATTTTTGGAAAAAAAAAACAAACAAAACCAAAGCATTTAATTATTTATTAAAAATTAAAGTACATCACACAGTAAATAAAAATCATTATTAAACAAACCTGACTTTTAAACCGAAAAAAAAACTAATTATCAAATACAAACCTCATACACTAAAATAAACAAGAACAAAAAAAAAAAAGGGGAAATTAGAATTTAGAAATAACAAACTTGATTAAACCAAGAAGATGGATGAGAAAAGAAAGATCCAGCCCATAATGGGGAAAAATTCACTCAGTACTTGTGGAGATTTGTACAAGAGGATAAAACTGTGCACATCCCCTCCATAATTAACCAGCTCAATGCAGCAACTTCATCCCCATTCTCAGAGCAATTTTGCCAAACATTTGTGAATACATTGAAGAGAGAAAATCTAGAGGGTGAACAGAAAAAGTCAACAATCTTTATCAATGCAGCTGTGTTGTTTCAGCTGATCTTCCTGTGTCGATGCTGCAAAAATATGTGAACCAAAAGTAAAGAAAATGACAGATAAAAAAGGGAGAACAAGTTGAATTTTGAAGTAAAGAATTTACGTATTAAAATGGGCAGGGAATACAAGATTGTGCTCACACCTGACTGATTTCCTTCAATGATGCAGTGTTCCACAGAGACACTATTCTGTAATTCTTGCAGATCAGGCTCTGGTATGTTATAGGGGCGTGAAACTGAAACAAAACAAAACAAATACTTCTGATTATGTTGATTCTTATGATGATATCAATTGCAGGTCGGTCAATTAGATTACGAACCGAAGGGAGTTGTCTCCGACTGACTCACGTTCACTTGGTGATCTTGCGGCACATCTCTGCAAATCTCCTTCAAATTCAACATAGAGAAGTTTCAAGCATTGTCACTTCTAGTTTTACCAGGGGGCATTTTGAAAAAGTTAGATTTGTACGGCTTAGACTTCACTTTTCAACCTTAAACTACTAAAAGCCAACCTAATGAAGTGATTGTGAAGTTTTACCTTGGAGGATTCACTCAGGTAGAAGGGGATTAGGTGAGCCTGGATGGAAGGCTCCAATTCAAATGGGGTTTCTCTTCCAATATCTGGCATGAAAGGATGGACTGAGGCAGCCCTTTTGTCAGGTAAACTCAGAAAAATATGGTTTGGTCTCTCTTGGTCCGAAGGAAGTGACTTATTTTCTTCACCAAAGTCCATTCTCATGTGGGAAAGTTGGAGATATTGCAAACTACCAGCCAAGTTCATAGGATGCAAACTCAAGCCATGTCTCATTGATAGCATCTGGTTTATGTGAATGGAACCAGAAATCAACTTGGAGAATTTCATTAATCCAGTGACCAGTGCAATTAGAAAAGACACCAACCTGAACTTGAAGTTGAAGCTGCTTCAGATATTCGATTGCTTCGTCCAGCATCGAGGCCTTGTCTGTCTGTGGAGGGAAGAAAAACAAAATCAAACGACCCAAACAAAAATTTGGGGATGTTTATGGAATTGCCTTAGTTACCTTGTTAGAATTGGGGATCAGATTTTGCAAGGCCTTCATTTTCTCATTAATTCTGCTCCTCCTCCTCTGCTCGGAAAAGCAGTCAAAATAAAACGACAATTATAATTTTGGAAGCAGAACAAAGGGAAAGGGAAGGACCTTTTCGGACAGATTATGAACTTCGGCTGCTCTGCTTCTCTTGGAAGAACTGCGAGGATTACGCTTTGTAGGCATTTCTTCAACGAATGCCTCTAGACCCTCCTGCACATTTACACAAACATAACGGCTGCATAACAAAATCTCCATTCCCACCACCCTAATTTTCGAGAATAAGCCAAAGAAGGAAAAATAGGAAGAACAGAAGAGAACCCAAGAAGTGGAAGGGAGAAGAATATACCTCACTTTCGCAGTCAAAGTCGTCGTTTTCGTTCTGATCACTTGCTCCCAGCGACGTGGAAGACGCATTGGGTGCAGTGGGTGTGGGACAAGACGGCGACGGATCATGTAGTAAAGCGGAGGAAGATGAATTGAGGAGTTGAGAAGAATGGACGGCGAAGATGTCGTCCGGCAGCCGCAGAACACTGGAAGCGTGGGAAGGGTGGATGTTGCAGGAAAGGTTGGAAAAGATAGAGGGAGAGGAGTGGGGAGTGGCGGAAGAGGAACGTAGCAAAATCTGTTGGAGAAACAGAGAGAATTCGTCGGGAGGAGAAGGGGAGGAGGAGACGGCGGCGGGAACGGGAACGGGAAGAGTCCAGGTCGAACATGCATTTTGATAACATTTGTCGGAATTGGAACTCGAATCCTCCATTTTTGTTTTGGTTATTTACAAAGGATACGACTTGCGAGCGGGAGCAGAAGTGTTACATTACTCGCTTTGTTTCGCCGTCGTCTGCTCCGTTCCTCGGCGTTGTATTGAAAATCTCTCCTCCTCGCCACACTACAAGTACAGAACTGACTTCGGAAATTGTGGGCGCCTCACACTTTTTTTTTTGGGTTCTCTTTTTCTTTCTTCCTTTTCTTTTCATAATTATTTTCCTTATAATATTTATTTCTTTTTAGAATTTAGTGCCATTTTTAAAGCATTCAATGTTTCACATAACAGAGATAAATATAAAAATATAAATTTTGTTTAAGATAATAAATTGTTAAATGATCTAGTCCTCACCCGTAAATAATTAAATATTTTTCTAATAATAATATGTTGAAATTATAAGTCTAAATTCATAATTTTTCAAGTTTTTTTCAATAGATCTTGAATTTTAAAAATGGTCTAATAAATTTTGGTTTTAAATTTTATATCTAACATGTCTTTTTTTTCAAGTGTCTAATATGTCATTCTTTTTTTTGTTTGAGATCCATCATGTCATTATTCTATTCTATATTTTGTAAAATAACATATTTATTGGACATAACATTGAATTTTGTGTCTAACAATAGAATCGAACGTTTAATTTTGTGTCTAATAAGTTTGTGAATTTTTAAAAAATGTCGAATAATACAAAATTAAAAATTAAGAGAAATATTAGATACAAAATTGAAAATGTGGACTTTTACTCTTTCAAAATGTAGAAATATTTTATACACGATTTTAAAACTTTAGAAACATTTTTAAATATAAATATAGTTTATAGATTTATTAAAATATAAATTTAAAAGTTAAAAGTATTAAACTTATGATTTAACTTAATTCGCGTGTTTTGTTTTAGGCGAGTGGTCTACCCTCATAAATTCTCTAGAGTTTTTGTCCACGCTAGCAATTCAATTTTACGAGACATTAAAAGTCTTAAATTTTCAAGATCGATTTAACTTAAAAACTTGTACATAAAATTTTAGATAATATTTTCAAATATTTCAGATCATTATTATAATGTCTCATCTTATATTGATGTAAAATGATGAATTTGAAAAAGAAGTTGAATTTAGAAAGTTTAGCTTCTATAATTAGTACAAATCAATGCATAAGTTGAAAATGTGGATTTACATAATTTGAGCTTTATGACATATGTTTATCGAAAGAGAGTTTAATGTAACACATTAAATCAAGAAACTCGCGACTTCACCTCTAATTATAGTAATGTAAATACGAGTGTAGAATTAGCAAGGTGTAGGAGACGCGCGGGGAGAGAGAATAGAGAGAAGGTAGGCGTGGCAGATGGCGCGTGGTGTGAGGGTTGTCAGTGACTCAATTATGATTGGACCGTCAATCAAACCTACACCTACACTAATCGCAATCGCATTCCCATTCATTATTATAATCTTTCCAAACCATTCCTCTGCTTCTGTCAGGTGACCTCCCTCCCCCCTCGCACGTGACCCCCACCTCCACCTCTCTAATTACTAAATAATCTAATTAAATCAACCTTTTTTTTTTTGTTTACTTTTCTCCACTCTAATTTAATTTAACACATCTGGAACATATGGCTATATTTGCCACAACATTCCATATTATTCTTCTGAATTTTCTGTTCACTTACCCACTCTTCTCCGCTCTGCCTGTTGCATACACACGTCTCCTTTCAATTCAAAGCTTCAATCTCATAATATTTTCCTATTTTATCTTTTTATCTTTAAAAATCAATTCAGATATTTATGAATATTTTTTATTCCATTTAACTTAAGTACAATACGGAAGCATGAAGGATTGAACTCGCACCACTTTATATTATTCCCTATGTGTGCAACCTTCCAAATCCTCCTACTAATTTTTAGATAACACCCCATCAGTCACGCCCACCCACCAACCTACCATTTCAAATAATTGTTCAAAACAGATCACTTTATTTTATTTAATTCCCTCAATATTTTTGTATACACTGTCGTCTTCTTCTTGTTGTTGAAAGAGGTCCAAAATAATAACAATTTATAGATTACGCAGCCTTTATCCATGATAATTTGATGGTCACAGGGCACATTTTATTTTTCGAATAAATTAGTTTTTGAAGTAGTATGAATTGCAACTAATGGCTGTATATACAAATTTCTTGAAAACGCTGGTGGTGATATGACGGCGTCGGTGATCTCAGTCTCAACTCTGAAGCGGTGGTAGCTATGGAAAAAGGAGAGATGCAATGCATTTATATTAAATTGAAAAATTCCCCGTTTTGCGTTGATGTCTGTTGTGTTGATAACAAGGACAACTATTCACATTTTCCATTTCCATGCTTATAATTTATAGCATTGGTCAAGTTAGAAACAATTGAACCTATTCCGGACCCATCCCCCAATCCCATGGGGTATATGGTATGGTAGGCTGAGTAGTCTAGAATCCAGTAGAATAGATGCTATGTCTCTACCATCACAACATAGACCTGTAATACTCAGTTTTGTGAAAAAGCTCCTCCATATCCTACCTCACATTCAAGATCGAGAGGTACAACTTACTTCTTAAAATTCTCTACCTTCCACTTTGCCACTCAGTCACTCTTCTTGCTAAACTAGACACTATACTCATGACACAGTCATCATTACTTACCTTTTATAAATAATACGCTGTCCTGCCCTAATACTGCTGGATATTCCCTTTGTATCGGCTGTACGTGATTATTTTATATCTAGTTTCAAATGCGTTCGATTTTAGTTTTAACATTTGATTTATTTTTAGGAATAGATTTATTATTTTTTTTATCCCTCAATTTGAAAGTAGGTTCCATGAGTCTCTCGTTTGTTCCAATCTAAGTAAAGAACTCAATACGGATTTTTTTTTCATGTTTGAGTTCGTTCTTTTTCTGGTTGGTATTTCTAAGTTAAATTTTACTGGCCAATCTCTTTGTGTTTTTCTTTTTGAAATTATTGTTTAGGAACACTAACCTTACCCTATCAAGTTCCACTTGATATTGGCAATATACCAACTTAGCAAGAATGACTACGAGCATATAAATATATATATATTATATAGGGCCTTTTCAATAATGGCAAATTTGGTTTAAACAATTTCAAATTTACCGCACAATAAAATATTTTGCAAAACTAGCACAAATCTAAAATTATGAATATCCTTGTACATCAGTGATAAACCTTTTCAATGATATAAAAATAGCTTATCAATGACATATTTGATATTAATTAAAAAATATTTACAAAATAAGGTGTTTTTAAAATTATTATTTCTCCTCCTATAACATGTGAAGATGAAGGATTCAAATGTTGTAGTTGAAAATGTACTCTAGTTGGACTATACATAATTTGATATTTAAAATTAGGGTTAATAATGATAATATTAACTGTATCAATTAAGTTATTGTAATCTACGACATGGTAAATGCCATCTACGTGCCGCCAAAACGCCTCATGTATTGGCAAGTGAGATGTTAAAAGAGTATTTTTGTAATTATCAACATAATTCTGTTTCTTTTAAACTAATTTGTTTGCTTTAACCAGCTATAAAGTTTCACAAAAAATAACTTTTTTATTCTCAAACAAGAAATTAGAAAAGGCATAAAACAATGGCACGACACCGACACGTGCAATTAAATACCTTGGGAACATACCAGTTTCTAAAAGTGAAGGCCCGCCAAATGAAATCACTTTCCGGAAACATCGAGGACCGTCCGATGGAATTGTGTGATGCAAATCTCGAGGGTTCAATCATTCTATCCTCTGGATACGTCCACATCCAAATCACAGACCGGCCGTATTTGGACGTTGATCCGATGTGGGATGACGTTTCATGATGGAGACGTTGATACTCCTGTGGTCCCCACACCATATCATTTTACCAAATAGCATCTTGCCACGTTTTATTAATAATGGTTCCATATATGGCTGCAAAAAGATATTGCTATATAAATTATTTAAATCATGTCACCGCATTTCAATTCAACTCTAATTTTCACCCAATCACATTTTTTAAGTGTCAACATGCTCTGTTACAGATGTATGTACTTCTTTTTTTTAGGTAAAAAATTCATATCACTCTCCAAATTCCAATATTTGTTGTACTTACAAGAAAAAACACTTTTTTTTTTGGGTTTAGAAAAAGACTTCTCAATGATTATATAAAATGTGATTTTTTTGGTATATAATTCAAATATTTTGAATCTTCATATTTGATAAAAATTGCTATGTCTTAGTATATATATATACATTTTTTTTTCTGAAAAATACTTGCCGATTTGAGCTATCCTTAGATCAAGGGTAAAATATGATTTATGATGGTTACTTTTTTTAATTTGTAGAAAGAAAGTGTATTATACCATTTGATTGTTAGAGAAATTTTCATGAAGTAATTTCTTATTAGAAAATATTAGTAAATATATATTTTTATAAAAGCAAATGTTAATATAATAATTTCAAATATAGAATTTATTAGAAAAAGTTATTTAGTCATGGATCTGGCCGGGCTGATAGTAAATTATAAGTGAATATTTTCCAAAAACCTTTTGTAATAACTTACATAATTGCTAATTTGCTTTCAAAAAATAAAATAAAATAATTGCTAATTAATAGAATTGAGTAACACTTTTGTTCTCTTGTACTAAATACTATATTATTAATGTTTTCATCGATAGCATCTCAAATAATCCTCTTTTAAAAGTAAAGATTTTTAGTAGTATTAAAAGTCAAGTAGTTAAATAATCCTCTTTTAAAAGTAAAGATTTTTAGTAGTATTAAAAGTCAAGTAGTTAAGATATGTAACATTGAGTGAAACGTTAGAGATTGAAATCCTCACTTCACAAATCACATCCATGTTTTAACTCAAAAGAGAAGGAAAAAAAAAAACTCTTTATAAAAATTTGTTTGGTAACGTTTTCGTTTCTTAATCTAGTTTTATTGAGAAACCTAAGAATTTGGCCATGATTTATGTTTATTGTTTCTCATTTTTTTTAGAAACATTCTCAAAATTATATTGAAATTTTGGGAAAAAAGAAACAAGTTTATTATTTCTTATTCCCATTTATAACGAAATCAAACTTTTTTTCATTAAGAAAAAAAGAAAAAAAGTTACCAAATGTAATCATATTTTTTTATTAGACATATAACAAAACTAACAAATGTGAAAAATGAAACAGTTTCTGACAATATTTCCATGGGGTAACTAATTGGGGTTAGCCAAATGGGTCCTGAGTTATATGAGTTTTGGATTCATATCCAAATCTATAACCCACGGACAGGTCTAGGGTCTCCTGCCTGGATTTGGATCCATGTCTAAATTTGTGGCCCATAGTTGGGTCTTAGGTCTAAATTTAAATCCATGATCTAGGTATAAGTTTTGGTCACTTACATATTTAATTATAAAAGAGAATTTTAAATAATATAAAAAATTAATTTTACAGAAGTAGCCATCAAATAAAGTAACTCTATTTTAAATAATGTAATAATATATGGTTTTGTAAAATGGAATATATGTCGCCTTCCACCCTCACAATATAATATAATATATATATATATATATATATATTAAGATATTCCTAAATGAATTAAATTATTTAATTCATTCCTTTAAATTTTTGGGTTGAGTGTGATTTATTCATTCATCTATCAAAACGGGAGATTCTGTGTTCAAACCCCTACTCTGTCTAACATCTTTCTATAAAAAAAAATGAAATATTATATTATTTTTACTGGGTGCTTTATGATTTTTTTCAAGAAGACTGTAATTTATCACCATTGGAAATTAAACATTTAATTATAATTTTTTTAAAAAATTAATTAATTAAAAAATCATTTAAAATGATAATAATACGTTCCATAGTAAATCCGATTATCGCAAAATATGGTGAAAAATATTGCGAGAATGGAAATTGAAACGGGTCTCGGTCCCACCTTGTGAACAAGATACAACCCTAATACCGCCCGACTTTTTTTTTCCATTTTTTTTTGTATTTTTGAGACAATCCATACCCTATACCCGACTTAAATATCAATTATTAGAAAAAAGTCATCGGCATATTTAGATAATTCCATTCTGTTAGAATCCATATAAATGATCAATTAAATTTACCCAACTCATAAGCTTAAGCTTTTGGATTGAGTGGTGGTTTCTTCATTAAGATGGTATCAGAGCGGGAGGTCCTATGTTCGAACCCCTGCATTGACGTCATTTGAAATTCTTAAAAATTGTTTTCATGTAACATATTTATCCAAATATATCATTCTTATTTTGCTTACCATGATTTATTTTTACTCCCACCCTCTTCTAAGTTGTAACCTAAAACTCATCTCATAGTATCCAAAATTTCAAATCCGTCTCATTTTCCAATTACACCTTGATTTTGAGAACCACTATCATAAAAAGAATATACAAATAAAGAACATATTAAAAAAGACTTGTGTGGTTAGGTGAAGGAGCTCCCAACTTGCAAAGTAGAATATAGGCAACAAATATATATATATATATATATATATATATATTGAAAACAGTAGAAAAAAAGGTTATTTAATGGATAATAAAAACAATTCAATTGCCTTATCTGACCAAGATTAGTTTTATGGCCAAGTTGGTAATTCAAAAAGCAGTCTCTTTCCAATTTTTGTGCAATATATCAATTATTTATGATGCCTTGAATCTGAATAGTACTGCTGTGGTTTATCAAAGAGCAGAAGTCAGCCATTGAGAATATTTGACCTTTTCTGGCCTAAATCCGCCACCCCAAGCTACACTGCTTGGAAAAGCCCCTTTCCATTTTTCTAAGACGTTTTTCAAAATCTCAAATCCATTTATTTAATCACGAATTTAATCAAACTATTTTGCTTTAAAATAGTACTCCCAAAATAATTATACAAAAATGAGTTGAATGGGCCAAGAGCAAGTGTTAGGTGTTTTAGGGAAAAAGTCAATTTTAACCATGAACATCGGAACAATGTATAATCAATTTTTACGCTAAATTTTCAATTTCGTCAAATTCTTAAATTTATATAAATGTTGCAATATTTATCTTAAATTTGAAAAAATATTGTAATTTTTATCTTCTTATAAGTTTTCGCACGTATTCAATGAATTATAAAATATATTTTTAGTAAAAAAAAAGACATCATCATAGTTAATCTTTATTGAAATTCGTGATTTTTAATAGAATTATTCAATCATCAACCTTTTTTTTACATATAAAGGGTAAAAATGGGGGGGTAAACCCGACTCTCACTCTCACGCTCACCAACCCCAAACCCGTGTCCCAATATAAATACATGGCATTGGGCATTGTTAATGCAAGCTAGGGGCCTTCAATTCCTTAATTTGGTAGCTACAGAAAGAGAAAAATGGCTCCTCCAAATGCCCAGCAGGGAACCACCCAAGTGAATGAACATGGTGAAGTTGGGCACAAGTCTCTCTTACAGAGCGATGCTCTTTAATCAAGGGATTGTAATAAAACAGGAACATCATGACAACGAGTGCAGATGAAGGACAGCTTCTGAGCATGCTTCTCAAACTCATCAACGCCAAGAACACCATGGAGATTGGCGTCTTCACTGGCTACTCCCTGCTCGCCACTGCCCTCGCTCTTCCCCACGATGCCAAGGTTGGTTTTCGCTGGACAAATTTACAAATCTTGTAAATTAAGCTTTCTAAATTATGCAATCATTTTGGTATATATATGGTAAGCAGATATTGGCTATGGATATCAATCGGGAGAATTACGAGTTGGGTCTTCCCATAATTCAAAAGGCTGGTGTTGCACACAAGATAGATTTCAGAGAAGGCCCTGCCCTGCCCCTCCTCGACCAAATGATCCAACAAGTAAATATTATTGAAATAGCTCGATTGATTATTTGAATATACACATTATATAATGTGGTACGGTACATAATGATGTTGCAGGGGACATACCATGGGACGTTTGATTTTATCTTTGTGGATGCTGATAAGGACAATTACTTGAATTACCACAAGAAGCTTATTGATCTTGTGAAGATTGGTGGTGTGATCGGCTACGACAACACTCTGTGGGCTGGCTCTGTGGTGGCGCCGCCGGATGCCCCTCTTAGAAACTACATTAGGTATTATAGGGATTTTGTTTTGGAGATCAACAAAGCCTTGGCTGTTGATCCTAGGATTGAGGTCTGCCAACTCGCAGTGGGAGATGGAATCACTTTCTGTCGCCGTATCACCTGAATCAAAACTCCCTCGCCATTCACCAATCTCATTTACTTTACCCCAAGCCCCAAACTTTGATTTTGATCTACTTTTTTGCCCATCAACTTAAAGAAAAACTTGTGTGTGCATGTATATTCTGTTTTTATTGGATCAAAACAAATATGACTAGTAACTTTATACTCAATGAAAGTCTATAATTTATAGATTATTTTAGTTGACACATTAAATAGGGTAATAATATAATTATATTAATACGTGGTCTACTTTTTATTATTAGAATATTTATTTAAATATTTTTAATAACAAATATTGGACAAGTAGATATTGAAAAAAGTAATTAAATATGCTGAAAATTGAACTCAAGTATAGATTTTCGTTTGAAGAAAAGAAAAGGAGTGAGTTAAAGTTAAGTTAACACCAGATAACAAACAGAGTCTAACCAGCTAGGCAAAGGAGAGGTCACATCTTAGGTAAGAACAAGAAGATCTATTGATATGACAATATCCTAGGTTATAGAAATCACTTTCAAATCTTTAATTATGGACCCTTTTTTTTTGTTTTTGTTTTACAGTAACCCCAGCCTATTTGATTCTCATTACCATTGTCCATTTAATTTTTCAAAAAATTTGACTCTAAGTTAAATCTACTTGATTTATTCTTGGATACTATTTTATATTTGACAATTAATAGAGAAAGATGTAAAAATTAAAAAAAATATATAAATAAATAATGAGTTGTTAAATGTTTTTTTTGTAATGATGCTAAGGGAGAAGTTATTCATTGATTTTAAGGAACCAAATTTTTTCCTTTAATTTTTTCGCACTACATATTGTACATCATGATGTTCCCAAACCTAAAGGATAAAGGTTTAGATTACCTTTTGATTTAAATATTTTTTTGAGTTTATGTCGTTTCAAATTATGGCACGTGAACTTTTAAAATATTAACGAAATATTTGTTAAAAAAATTATTTTAAAATTATTTTATTAAAAGTTAAGAATAGAAGTGAAACTTTTGAAATAATATAAATATTTTTAAAAAAAGAAGCAAAGTTCAAAGTTTTATTTATTATTATTAACCTTTTTTTTGGCAGGTTTTTTTAGTACAAATAGTTTAGATTTAGTTTTTATGGTATTAAAAAATTTTAAATTTAATCCTTATGATTTGAGATTAGTTCTAATTCGGTATCTATAATTTTTAAAGTTTCAAAATTTATACMTATGTATTGGTTAACCATCACATACTGAAAGGGTAGATGACAATAAGAAGGAGATTTTGTGAGATCTAATTAAATGATAGGATTTAAAGGAAACCTTTTCAAACCATCTAAAATTAAATTAAAATTGAGTTGCAGTTTAGATAATTGGTACATCTCTATGATTTGGCGGTTGAGGTTGTGAGTTTGAAATTTTCACCGGACAGATAAATAATAAGATTTAGTTAGGACGATGGAAATAAAATAAAAAATTTTAAAATGAACCAAGTTGATATAAACCAAATTTGAATTTGAACAGAAAATAAGAGAGAAGAATTCAAACCGCCACTGATTTTTAAAGGTATGTATTTTTGGGAAATGTCCCCAAATGAAATCATACGATAATATGATATTGTAGAGAAGGTAGATAGGGGAGGGATCGGACGATTTCCGTTTGAACAGCGGAGCGGCGCGGCGCCTGGTCAGTAACCAACGATTAATTATAGGAATTGGAAAAAGCCAAGTCTGTTGCAGGTTTGCAACCAAACACAAGAACACTACAAACACGATTCCTGCGAGTCATCGAGCCGCGGAAAACGTCGTTTAGGATTTGGTGGGAATGGTTAAAACCAAGCACCAAAAGTCCAACTCTAAGCGACAACCCCAAGTAATCCCTTCATCTTTCTCTCATTTCTCAACTATACGCCTTCTTTCACGCTGAAGAGCAAGAATCCTGATTTTCTTGTTTAACCTCTTACCTCAATTCTATCTGTAATGCTTCCAAGCTAAGACAAATTCGTTAATTAGCGCCGAATTATGTGCTTATGCTGCCTCACCCGAACTTTACTATGGTACCCCAGTTTTTCTGAACCATCTTGATCATAATATGCGACATAAGAGTTCTATGGTTACTTTCTTCTTGTTCTAGATTAGTGATGGTTAAGAATATGTATTATTATATAAACTATAACCAATCTTTTGGTTTAGTGGTAAGTTAATTCAGTATCAGATAGGTGGTCACGAATCCAACCGGCACATATAGTATAGTAACATTGGGTATGTGAAAAAAATGTAAAAGCAGATTTGGGAGAATGGATTCAACCACAAATTGGCCTATCTATCTAGATATAAATACTACGAGTTTTCTGAGAACCAAATGTTACACGGTCAAGTAGTTTTTTCGTGGGATGAGTCAAGGTGTGTGTAGTCAATTAATATTCGAGCAAGCATGTGAATGGAGTCCTAAGAGTATATAGTTTAGTGGTAATTTAATTGTTAATTTTGGTCAGATTGTTGCATTTTAGTATTGGGTTTGTTCTGGCCTCCAGGAAAATATTCCTTTGTGAGGAGTTCATGGCTGAAGATGAGCCATATTCCATTTCTCTGGAAAGATCCAATTCTTGATGTAATACGTAATAACTAAGCTTCAGAGTACCAAAATGGTGACCAATATGTTCACTTTATACATTAGTCTCAGATTCTCAACCAATAAATGCGTAGTTGTTAAGTTAGATGGTCATTATTTCCTCTAATATTAGTGGTTTCATGAAAACGTTTTTGATTGGCAGAACAAAAAGCCTGGAAAGGCAGCTGATATTTCTCAGTTTCGTGCTCAGCTTGACTTATTGGGCCTCCAAATTGTTCAAGTGACTGCAGATGGTAATTGCTTTTTCAGGTCAGGAATTATTAGATGAATGCATCTTAAACTTGTTGAGAATCATAGATTACTACTTTAATATACGAAGGAAAGGTTTATCTGGGGAGATATCTTGTTTCCTTGGTCGTTTCATTTCTACCTCTTCCTTCAATCAATGAATATATATACTACATAATGCACATAACTGTTAACTTTTGATATTTTCGTTCATTTTTGTTGCGTATGGTTTGCATGCTTATCAATTGACTTGTATAATGCTCATCTTTTCTAGATATTCTATTTGGCTTTTGTTTTATTTGAAGCTACTCTTGTATAATCTCAGTAAGTTGCAGGGGCCTTGCAGATCAGTTAGATGGTGATCAAGAGGAACATGAAAAGTATCGGAAGATGGTTGTGCAGTATATTTTGGTACATATCAGGAACTAACTTTCATATGAACTCTGAATTTTGTAGCAGTCGTTGTACTTAACCTTGCTTACTTGTAATGGCTATAAACTATTCCTAGCAGACATGATTCTTGAATCTCTCATTGTAACTATGATGTGTTAGTGTTCATCATGCACTGCTCATTAAAATATCTGCTTAGATTATAAAAAGTGTGAAGTTTTTCTTATTGTGATTTTGTTGTGATCCCTTGGAAAGGGGCCGTGGATTAATTCTCTGTCTGCAGTAGTTTAATATTTTTGTCCGTTTATGCTGAAATTTGGCTCATGTCACCTGCATTTGTGCATTTTAATATGCTTTGTTGTATTTGTTTTCTATCTCACTCCCATGTTCCTTCGTATCTTATAGTACTATGAATTGTAAAATGTCATTAACAGAAGAACCGTGAAATGTTTGAGCCATTCATTGAGGATGATGTCCCATTTGATGAATATTGTGACTCCATGGAAAAGGATGGTACCTGGGCTGGACATCTCGAATTGCAGGCTGCTTCTCTTGTTACTCATAGTAATATATGCATTCACCGGGTGAGAACTTTCTCGAAACCTTTTCTTCCGTATTTTCCATACCTGTACTGTCCACATCATCTTCCAAATTGAAGAAATTAATGCCACGTTCCACCCTTTGAGCAAGTCTGACCAACGTAGGTGCTAACTTTGTTAAAGTGCAAAACAAAAGGGATTTCATCATGCTGTAACTACTATGAAACATATAGTTACGTATCTATCCCAAAACTCATAAAGATACGGTTGGATTTTATATTTTGTATTTATATATATGATGCTATCTAAAATTAGGATAAAAATGAGATCAACTGAAAATTCCTGAAAGTCAGGTTTCTTCATTCAATATGTGTGTATTTGTGTTTGTATAAATTGAAGTTAATTACCATGCAGATCTGTTCCTCAACTTAAATTCTAGATTTGTCACTAATTTGTACATAGAAATCACATATTATATGTTCTCCAGAACCACTGTTTACTGATTGCTTGTAAATGTATAGATGTCATCACCACGTTGGTACATACGAAATTTTGACGATCGAGAAGCTCGTATGGTCCACTTGTAAGTGTTGGATGGTTTGTATAGTAAATTTGCACTTGTAAATTTCCATAAAGTGATTGATAGGTTTAAGGAAATTTGAATATGAAGCTACTAGGTGTTATGTGTTAGGTGCTGTATTTATGTGAATGGTATGATGTCCTTCAAATAGATGCCGATAGCTTCTTAATTGTAAGCTTAAAATATATGGTGTTTGAAAACATTATTTGCCTTGAAGTAATTGTTGAGCAGTTTATGGACCACTAAGTTATTATTAGTAAACTAAACTCTTTGGACCTATCATATTGGTGACAATTGACATGCGATGGAAATACGAACGAGACAAGAATTTTTTTTAGATATTAGAATAAGTAAGAAAGAGAAAGTTAAACAATTATCTACCAATACTATAGAGGAATGAGCATGACTGAAGAAAGTTTTAAAATAGGAGTTTATAAGGTTCAAGTTTCTTTTATCATCCCAGCATATCCAAGCTAAGAACACCTATGTTAAGGCTAGTATCTAAAAATATCAATCTAAAATCATCTTTTTATGATCATGTTGGTTTCATTTATCACTAATGTTATATGTATTATCATAGTATGAAGGGAGCCGTCAATATTACCTTCATGTAGCAGTTTATCTGGTTGTTTGTGTTCTAAAATCTGCCAATATTTTAACATGATTTGGCGTGCATGACCTATTTGTTGACTTAAATTGTCTCAAGGTCTTATCACGATGAGGAACATTACAATAGTGTGCGGTTGAAGGAAGACACGTGTGCTGGTCCAGCCAGGCCAATCATAATCAAAGTCAGTTTCTGTTTTCTTTTCTCCGCTGAATTTATATTTCTTATGAAAGTTGTGCTTATTTTAACTGAAGGATTCAAAACATTATGGTAGTAATACCCAAATTACTTGTTTTTCTAAGGGTGATGCTGTTCCTTCAGCAAATTCACTTCAAGCAAAAGTTCTCGCCTCTAATTTTCAAAAGAGAGGCGAAAGTGCTATAAGTCCTGGAATTGTCAAAGTAGTTATGGCAGGTAGTGGTTGTGAAAATTCTAGAAAAGTTGAAAAGGTGATTATGTAATATTAATTGTTTGTTTCCCATGTCCATCTAACTAATCTTCTTACAATGTATTTAGTTAGGAGTTGTTCTTTTCATATGGTGGCAGGTTTTGGTACAAGTCAGTGGTGATGTTGATGCTGCAATAGAGTTTCTCATAGCAGAACAAGCGGCAGAAGAAAACGAAGAGCCAACTGAATCATCTATGCGCCATATGGATTCCTCATTCGGTAATGTCGGATCATCAATTTTCCTCCTATCAAGACAAATTTATAACATAGCAGATAGCAGTTAGAAGATTAAAGTTTATTTTTTGAAATGTTACAAATCACTTGTGCACTAATGCTCCACAAAAAGTGAAACTGAGAGTTTTTTTTTTTTTCCTGAGCTGCACTTTGGAAGAACTGTGGTTATCTACACTCCAAGAACATGGAATTTGTGACCAAAAACTTGGAATGCAGATAGCAATAAGGCTTCCTTGATAACTGGTTAAATTGGTTATCTGTTTGGTCTACCGTTTCAGAAAACTTCAACTTGTTATTTCTAATAGATGCTGTAGTTGATCTTTGTATATCACATATTTGAAGGGTGGATAAAATTTACAACTTACTTGTCCTTTCACCTTCCAATCACTCCCCCGAAGAAATGGCCAGAAGAAGAACTGTGTTTTAGGAGAGGAATCTTTTGCTCAATGTTCTTGTTATCATTGCATTCGGTTATGTTTCTTCAATATTTACCAAGATTTTTGCAAATTTTCAGGTGTTGATGAAAAAAGGAACGATGAGCAATTGGAAGAACAAACAGAAGAGAATCACAATAAAATTGATTCGTGTAGCAACAGCACTAAACATTCTAATTGTAGCAGTTCTCAATCAGATGACAAGGTCTTCTTTTAGATCATAATGCAACTATTTTTGCTTTGCTAAATATGATCTCCTCCCACCATCTAGCTCTGAGTACAGTGGTTGTAATTGCTTATATTTCTTCTCTTCCATTATCAGAAGATCCCAAGGAATAAAGTCTGCCCATGTGGTTCAAAAAAGAAATATAAAGCTTGCTGCGGATCAGTTGCTGCGAGTTCATCTGGCAAGTATATAGTGTATGGTTCTTGACCCTTTTTTTATTTTTTTAAATGTTTTTGTAAGACTTCAGTGCAAGTTTATGATGGGGACATGGAGCCATCTGCCATACAGTTTGTTTGTACCTGGAGAAAGAAAAACAAAAAGGAGAATGACGAGGAGGAGGGTGGGTTAGCTTTTTTCAAAGAGTGGGGCCCAAAGTTTGTCATAGGTGGTCATGAGAATAGGTCGTGAAGGAGGGGTATTTCTAAGGGAGAGGAACCCATTTGCAGGATTCAGTATTTTGTATTTGGGCCTTAGGGGGTTTATCTTTTAAGGAAGGAGAGTGCTCAGCCTCTCAAAGAGGTTTCCTTTGTTATTTTTGTGTTCTGTTTGGGGTGATTAATTGAATATTGTGCAGGTAGGCCATCTGAGGCCTATCAGTTTATTTAATTTTTTATCCCATAATTGATCAAAAGAAACATGCTATCCAAAACTTGGTTGAGAGAAATTCCATTTGAAGTAAAGGAAGAGAGAGTTCAAATGAGATATTAATTGGAAGGCAGTTAATAAGATTGAAGATGACCTAGAATTTTCATAGAGGCTTATCATAATTATTACTTTGCTCCAATTTGAGCTGAAAGAGAATGCCTAATATGAAGCTGCTCCAATAACAGGAACAAGACTATTGACTCTAAGAAATCTAGGAAGGAAAGGAAGATGGGCAAGAAGGGTGGACCTGCTAAAGTTGAAGTGTCCTCTGGATCTGATGGATTGCCACATGACTTGGGAGCACTTTGTATTTGATCTTCATCTGGCCGTATGAAACTGAAAGCCGTCTAATTGATTAATGTTCCGTCTCATTTGTTTCTCACTAACATTGTCATGATAACATCACTCCATTTTTATTTCAGCAGGAGACATTTTAGCTGCAGATTAAAGAGAGTTTGGAATCGCAGGTTAGTGCTACCTCGTTTTCAAAGTTTCTTTTTATGGGGTTTTGTTATTATGTGATATTTATCAACAATTGTGAATGTTAGGAGGAATTATTTTCCCTTTGTTTATTATCACCATTGTTGCTTTCGATAGAGGATATGGCTATATTTGGAAAAAGGAGGGTACTATTGAAGACCCTTAAGGGGGGAGGAGAAAAAATAGTATCACGAGAAAGAACAGTCAGAATATTGTGTTTGTTACTAACCTGCTTTTTCAAACTAGTGGAGGACAACGTTAATGGATTTGATGTTTGTGCTTCTTAAACAAGCAAACAACTTGAGTCAGTTCAAGCGGACTCAAGATCATCAAATTCTCAAAAGATTTTCATATTTCACTTTTGTTTTCTTTTTTAAAAATATCACATTACAAATACTAAGAGGGAGCAGAAATGACTTAACCACTGATGTTAAAGGTTGGCTATTTCTCTCCTACAACAAAGCATAAAATGCAGTTCATCCACAAGTTCAAAGCTTTTCAAACCATTTTTCTCTTGATCAAACCTCAAGGATTGTGGAACTAACAAAAATTAAAATGAATGGTTAAAACCATTCAATATAGAGATGTTTTTATATAGTAACGTGAATTATAATTCTGTTGTTTCTTACATGTACTTTATTTCACTTTCCTGTGGCTCTGAAGGGATAGGAGTTCTTGGGCATTGTGAATATCCACATGCGGATGACCCAATTTTCTGCGCAGGGCTTCCTCATTATGTTTCAAAGAGTTGCTCTTACAATAACCGTAATTTATATTGTACTGATGTCTTCAAATTCCGGATAGATGATGATGTGATCCATGATTGCTTGGTGGTGGGATTTTCCCCATACAATATACCGGTGGTTGTGGGGAAACTGAAGAGTGATGGTTTTCCCCTCTACATCTATGCAAGGCCGGATTTTTGCAGAAGCCCACTGAACTTGAAGTGCGAGTATAGATTTAGAAGCAGTAGCTCGCATAGATGAACTTGTGCTGCCAATCATATTACAAGAGTAAGCGCACTATATTTAGGGTTATATTATGGTTAATTTGTCAATTTTTCTATTTATCAACGTTCTTTAGCTAATGGTAGTGTAAAATAGAACAAGGGAAATTACGCACCTACTGTCTACACACAAAATATGACCATAAGTTTTGTTGTAGAAGATTCAGGGAAGTGGCCGCTCTGAGAAAATGCAAAGATATTAGCATTTCAGAGTCTGTTCTTTATGACGTGCGTGGCCTGTATTATTAGTGTAATTGTTTGCCATTTGATCTTTCTAAGTGATCCGTTAATCTTTTATTCAGTTGGATTGTATTGAGCTAAGATTCGCAGACCTTGGTATGGTTTTCTTTCCTTGATGTATAAAGACATCTCTCAGTTATCGAGTCTCCTAGAGAGTGTATACACATTTACCACAAACTACCATGTGTGGAATGGTCGAGTCAGTTCAACTTGGCAAGGCCGTAGACTCGAAAATATTAAACATGGGTTAGACAAAACCAACTCCAGTTAAGTTGTTTACTACTATCAATTATTGAAGGACAAGTTCAGTGATAAACTGTAAAAAACTCCCTGAAATCCAAACATATCCAAGAAATCTTTCGGCTCCCATCCACAAGCTTGAACAAGAAGGGTTGAGTTGAAGATCTCATTTCCAAAGTCTGTAGAATGTAATGGATAATCTTGCCATTTTAGGAAGACTTCATTTCTACATCTTGTTTTTACTCCTTGTTGCTGTAGACATATCAGTTAGACAAGTGCTCCCTTATATGAAGTGTATATGCATTACTTAATCAAAATCATATTGACTATCATTCTCTCAACAATTCTTTTGATGTACGGTCAAATTTGCAAGCACATTAATCGAACTGGTAGAAAACTTTTGCAGTGGAAACCGTGGACAGAAACTACAATGTAGGGGTGGAGAACACAGTGCCAAACAGTTACAATATGTTATTCCCCTTCACAACAAATAATACTCAGTCATAGTTGTGAGTCAACCAATGTCATCGGCGAGCTCTGAGATCTCGACATGTTCGATGAATATACAGCCTACAGGTCAGGTTGAGAAGCTTTTGGTAGGCAATGGGGAGGGACCTTAAAATCAACCATGTTGATCTAGCTACCATTTGCTCCACCTACAATAAAGTTGTTCTAAACAACATACGTCACATGTCCTTCGAAAAGAACCTCATTAATGTTGCTAAGTTAGACAAGAAAATGATGTCTGTATTTTAATTGACAACACTCTATGTGTCGTGCAGGGCACATGGTAAATCGTCCTCCTCTTCAAGGACGCCTTTCATTTATAGGGGCTTGTATAGTCGTACTACTAACTATGCTACTCGAGGACAATTTAATAAATCCTACTACTTACCCCTCTATATCCTCATTTTGTATTGGTTGGTTTATGTTATATTCAATAAATTAATGGGATGTTGAAGGAATAAAAAGCTACATCATTAAGTATGTATATGTTTTTTTTTTTTTTTTGGTATACCTTGTAAAATTTTGAGTAACATGTTGAGTTTTTGTCTAGATGTGAACTTGTTTGTTAAAAGACGATTTTGACTTGTCACATTGAACATGTCTCTTCAATATATTAACTAATATATATTTTCATGTAAAAATGAAATTAATTTTTTAGTCTTTATAAGTTTGAACAACCAATTTTATTATTCATCTAATGTTTTTACTTCTAAATGAATAATAAAATAATAAAAATATATAGATATAACTTAGACTTGTGGAGGAAGTTTTAGAGAGATTCTTTTTTTAAAATCTCTCGTTTATTATTAACCCTAATTCTATTTTAAATAGGTGTCTCAAAAGTCACATGATTTCTTTGTAATTCCTAAAAAGAGAAGGTTGAGCAAAGAAAACATACCCCATAAGGTTAAGTTAGGATAAATGAGAAAATAAGACGTAAAAAACATTCTATTTTTATGATTCATTATTTTTGATGTCGAAAGTATTGGAGAATCGAATAATTAAATAAACTTCCTTTTTGTGATGTTATTTTAAACTTGTCTTTTGTGAATGATATGAATGTGATGAATTTTCCAACTTTTTCCAAAATTGAAAAGGATGAAATTGGGGAAGCTTCCTACTTAAAAGGAAAAGAAAGGAATCAAATTGGATTAGACCAAACATGAGTGTGGGGAATTGTCCAAAAACTGAAATGGAAAGCTATGGGTATCAAACAAAACGCATTTCTTCCCAAAATTACAGACTCGTAATGCACCCTCTCACTCTTACTGCCTTCATTTCTAAAACTTGCTTTTGTTAATTTGATTAAAGACCAATTTTTAAAAACAAACAATTTTGTCTCTAATTTTGTTGTTTTGTGCCTTCAAAGTCATTAGTTTTGGGCAAAAAATCATTCTAGTTTTTACCAGATTACTTGGACAAAATCTTGACTGTTATTGTGAGTTTGATTTCATGACAACTTTTTGTGGTATTTTATCCTTAAAATAATGCTTCCTTTGCCAGCACTTTTAAATATCTTTTCAGATTACTAGACTCTGTCTTCTTTTTTTTTTTTTCAAAATAAATAGTTTTTTAAAATGTTTTAAAAACATTGCTAAAGATTTTGGAAGTACTTTTTTTTTTCTTAAATGATAAACTAAATACAAAATTGATTTTTTTTTACATATAGAAAAACTATCTAATCACTCGTACACTTACTTACCTTCTGACGTGACATATAGAATAGACTAATTACAAGTCACGATTTGTCGGTTTTTTTTTATTGCAATATCTATAGAGGTGGAGATTCAAACCTACGATTTTTTGATAGAAAATACATGCATTAATTAGTTATGCTATGATCAAGTTGGGATAGTTATGATTTTTTTTTTTAGTACAACATGTTAAGGAGAAGATTCGAACTCACAAGCTCTTGGTTGGAGGTATATGCCGCTGAGCTATGCTCGTTTTGGTTGGGATAGTCATGATTTGTTCCTTGATTTATAGTTAATTAATCAAATTTTACCAAACATAACTAAAATTTAAATATACTATCGACTATTTTTATAATTATTTTTTCTTAATTTTAGAAATTATCATAAATAATCTATCTACAATAAAATTTTACAAATATAGTCTTTTTGAGTTGTTACTTTCCACATTTTCTTTTTACTTTCCTATCAGAATCAATCAACTATTATTTATTTTTAAATAAAATAAAATTTTCGTGTCTATTGATCTATTATATAAATTAAAAAATGAAAAACAATTTAAATATAAGAAAAATTTTGTAAATATTTTGATCTTTTGACTCCTATTTTGTTAATATTTTCTTAAATTGAGTTATATATATATATATATATATTATATATTATTTGTTAAATAGAAATCATTGCTTAAATTTCTAAATGCCCATAATTTTGATGTCAAGAAGTAACCATATGGGCTTTCCATATCTTGGGCGGCCCCCAGAAGGAGAAAACCAGCACTTCAAATTGAACACTTTCTATTATTGGAAAAATAAATAAATAAATAAACAGAAGTTCTATAAGAACCGATTTTATGGAATTAAAATTATCATGTATTAAAGAAAAAATTAAAGTTATCATTATACAAAAGTAATAATGTATGGTTGTCCGCTAATAATTTGGTTTCTACTTTGAATAATAAAAAATTAATATGAGTTCGAATCCTCTCACCATATGTTGTAAAAAAAATATGCCAATCAAATTAGAAGTGTGTAACACTCTAAGAATTGGTAATTCGTGTAATAATTAAAAGAAAAGTAAAAAATTTGACTTTTTATTCCAATTTTCTCATATTAATTTGTGTAATAACTAAAATTAAGTTTTGAGATATTAAAAGCACAAAATAATAGAGTAATATAATTTTTTCTTCAAAAAAAAGTCACACACAAGTCGAAGTTCTCCACCTATAACATCTTAAAATTACTATCGAAATATTGACGAGACTTTAAAAACCAGAACTAATTTTTTAGAAATTACTTGGCTCGCTCAGGAACAATTTTTTACTCTTGAGATTAAGATTATAAACATTAGGTTAACATATTATTTTGGAACTTCTGATTTCAATTTTGGTTCATTTTAATCCCTTTACTTTCAAAATGTGTTCATTTTAGTCTCTATATTTTAATTTTTAGTTCATTTTAATATATAGTTTCAAAATATTCATTTTAGTTCACTTACTTTTAAAAATTGACCATTTTGGTCCTTACCAACAAAATTTTAACGCAAATTATACATACAATGTAAATATTTTAATACAATGATAGTTAAATTTCAAAAATATATTGAGTGTAGTTCACCTTGAAATTGTGATAGAATAAATGAGCACAATAAAGGGACCAACATGATCATTTTAATAATATAATGACTAAAATGAACATTTTAAAATACATAGACCAAAATGAACTGAGATTAAAATTACATGGACCAAAATAGTATTTTAGAGAGAGAATTACTTCATTTATTAAAAAAAACGAGGCAATCTATGAAAACACACCGAGAACAAACAAGGAAAAAGAAAAACTTTAAGAAAGGTGGATATCTAAACCTATTTTCATTAAACTTTCATTTTAAAAAAATTGAAAACAGTTTCGAAACAAGCCCAATCTTTTTTAGTTTTTAAAATTTTGCTAGTCTACAGTCGTAAAAAAAAATGCCTACAAAATAATATTACATAACGAAGAAAAGTGTTAGTAAAGAGAGATGACATTTTATAAAAATAATAATAAAGGTTTGTGAAATGGAATCTCACTGTTTAGTTGCCCAAAAATCATAAAGGAAAGCAATAGGTGCAGAAGTTTATATTTAGACAAAGGAAAAAGGTCTATTCATATTTTATGACTTGAATGCACAATGAAATCTAGCCAGTTTCCTCATTTGAGGTAAACAATAAACAGCTTTAATCCAATGCAACAGATGTACTATCTCACTTCCTGCACTCCTTATATGACACCAACTTTACTTTCACCCAAACAAAATAAACTATACTAAAAAAAATCTGCCATCTATATACACACACATATATATATATATTGTAAATATATCTCAAATAATTCAAATCTTCTGCAATGCAATGCGTGTATAATTCAATTGCTTAATTTTCATAACAGGAGCCAATAAATTTAAGAGAGCAATAATTAATGAAAATTTATGGTCCCAGAGGTGGAGGCAACAGCTAAACAAGAAAGCAAAACTGAAAAAATTAAAGGGTTGAATTGGGAAAAATGGGCCTACTCTAACCTAGCCTAACCTAATTAATTAACATAAAGTGTGAGAATTGGGTTACCATAAAATTAGTTTATGGACATTAAAGGATGCAATTAAAGGAGGAAGCAATTGGTTGGTCTAGAGGTGTGCTAATTTAAAGTCTCCAACAAACCCTCTCTGCCAAATTTCCAAAACAGGAAAGTCTTTCAGTTGGGAAACTGAAATATAATGGAAATAAAATGAAGGGATTGTGTTTTGTGCATAATGGAATGAGGATTCACCTCAGCAATAATATTTCCATGTGCATACACCCTTCTATATGTCATTATATACTCCACTACACATTTATTTTTTCTTCAATTTTTACTGGTCATATTCAATTTTTACACATGCAGTTCCACAGAGGGAAACCTTGCTCATTTAATAAACTACATCTATCTATTAAAATTTTTATGCCAATATAGATAAAAAGAGATAGCAACTTTTCATGAAATTGTTGTGCCAACTGGTGAATTTATAACTCAGAATAATATCTTTGTAAGGATAAGATTCTCTCTCAAAGAAAAGAAATCCATCACCTTAAGTTTAAACATTATTTGTTCATTAGAGTTCAA